CAGCAGCAGCTCCACCAGGCGGGTCCGCAGCACCAGCAGCAGCGCCACCCCCAGAGTCGGCAGCTCCAACTCCGCTAGCACCGCCAGCGCCAGAGTCCCCAGCTCCAGCAGCTCCAGTCGCAGTGCTCCCAGAACAACCAGTCCCGGCAGCTCCAGTACCCCCAGTACGAGCACCCCCAGGACGAGCAGCCCCAGCACCCCCAACTCCAGCCGAGCCACTAGGACGGCGAAAGCGCCGGACGTACCAGTCACGAAGCTGCTGCGGTGTGAGAGACTGCTCAGCACCCCGAACCGGAGCACCCCCAGACGCAGTAACCCGAGGCTCCGTAGGCTCAGTAGCAGCACCCCCAGGCTCAGTACCCGCAGGCTCAGTACCCGCAGGCTCAGCACCCCCAGTCGCAGCACCCCCAGGCTCAGCACCCCCAGGCGGCAAACTCTCAGGCACAGTACCCTCAGCTCCAGCACCCGCAGTCCCAGCACTCCCAGGCCCCGCACCCGCAGGCTCAGCACCCCCAGGCTCAGCACCCCCAGGCTCCGTACTCTCAGGCACCGTACCCTCAGCTCCAGCACCCTCAGTCCCAGCACCCGCAGCCCCAGCACCCCCAGGCCCAGCACCCCCAGGCTCAGCACCCCCAGGCTCAGCACTCCCAGCAGCACCACCCGCAGCAGCACCTGAGTCACCTGTGACCTCGACAGGCTCAGCGACGGGAGGAGGGTCTACCTGAGAGACACCTGAAGGAGCAGGACCCTGAGGGGGAAGGGGGTCTACCGGAGGGGGACCAGGAGCAAGGAAAAGCGGCGGGGGAGGGAGGGGGGCAGTGCGGTAGGGGAAGAGACGGTAAAAAGGGACCGACTCGTCAAAGGTGACATCCTGAGAGGCGAAGACCCGGCGCGAGGTGGGGTGGTAAAACTGCCAGCCAGGCGCGTCAGGAACAAAGCCAAGGAAGACACAGGGAAGCGTGCGGGAGGAGAGCTTGTCCGCGGACGTATCGCGGACAAGGGCACGAGCACCCCACACCCGGAAGCGCGACGCATCGCCAACCTCCCCCGTCCAACGCAGTGTGGGCGAGGTCTCCGGCAAGGAGACACGGGGCCAGAGGTTGAGCTGATGCGCGGCGTACCGGACAGCAAACGGCCACAGAAAATGGGGAGCCGCCGCGTGGACCAAGGAGGTACGAGCGACCTCCATGACCAGGCCAATGCGGCGCTCAGCAACCCCATTCTGCTGTGGGGAGTCCGGAAGCATGAAGGTCTGCTCGATGCCCTCCGCCTGACAGAAGGTCCTCAAGAGATCGGAGGAAAACTCACCACCTCTGTCAGAGTGCAGACGCAGGACAGGAAGATCCGTCCGGAAACGGCGGCGGAGCTGGAGACGAACCGTGCGGATCCAAGGGATCAGAACAGCAGGGACCTCACCCTTGGTGCGCAAGGGGAAGACCGTGGTGTAACGCGAGTAGTCGTCGACAACCAGCAAAAAGTACCGCTCACCGCCCTGACCACGAACGCGGGCTGGGCCCCACACGTCCAGGTGGAGGGTCTGCAGAGGAGCCTCTGTCGGGGGGAACGAGGAGGAGTGAGGAGCGGCGCGCTGCCGCCCCTCGACGCAAGGAAGGCAAGGCGGCGCAGGCGAGGCAGGGAGGGGAGGGAGGGACCTGGGAAGACCAGACACAAGGTGGCGACGGTGCATGCCACGAAGGCGTGGCAAGGAGGGGTGACCCAGGCGGTGGTGCCAGAGAAGAGTCTGGTGCGACAGGGAACGACACTCACAGGCGTGGGCTACCAGACCTGACGCAGACACCTGACCGACAGCAGCGACCTGAGGAGACGCAGTGGTCAGTGTGTAGAGACTCGACCCCGGTCGACGGGTGAACGTAGCCAGGTGACGGCCGGTCCTGGAGCACGTGCAGATCGCCACACGCTGTCCTCCAGGGGTAAAGGTGTCAACCCACTGATCCTGGAGGACAGCGTTGCTCACCAGGTTCGTCGAGAACGAGGGGAGGTGGAAACCCGACAACGAGCCAGACGGAACCGCCGGACAAGGGAGGACAGTGGTGGACTGGGCAAGGACTGGGCCCCCAGAGGGGTCAGCCAAGGAGACTGGGACCGGTGCAGGAAGCGGTGTGAGCTCAGTACTGTCACGAAAGAAGCAACGGGAAGCACCTGAGTCAAGGGTGAAGGTGTGACAGGCCTCAGCCGGTGCGGTACCTGAGAGAGCAGTCGCTGTGGGTGCTGTACCTGAGAGAGCAGACTCGAAACCAGCCGGGACAGCACTGGAGGGAGCAAGTACAGGGGGCACCATACCAGAGAGAGCAGACTCACTAGTACCCAGGGCAGCGGGCTCTATACCTGGGTCAGGCGGCACACACAAGTAACAGTCTCCCTCGGCACTAACAGTCAATGCATACATGGCAGCAATAATAGCATCATAGTCAAGAGCAAAGACATCAACACCAGCCCTCATGAGCTCAGCCCAGCGGGGGCGCTCAACATCCGCACCCATCTCCTCACGCCAAGCGTCGTCAAGGCGGGAGAAGCAGCGGTACGGGGTGTGGAACCTCCCACACGTCTGTCCCTTGCGGTCACCTGTACGAATGACATAGGAACAGCGGCCACTGCCCCCCGACGTCCCACGCTGAGCAAGCCACTCACGAAGCTGCTGGGTCGTCTGGGGACGCTGCTGCTGCTGGGAGCTCTGGCCCGAGCCAGTGCCTCCACTCCGACCTCCGCCGCCACCACTACCACCGCTCCGACCGCCACCGCCACCACCGCCACCACCGCCACCGCCGCCACCGCCGCCGCCGCCACTACTGCCACTGCTTCCTCCGCCGCCCCCGCCTCCACCACCGACCCCACTCCCACCAGCGCTCCCGCCACCGCTCCCTCCAGCACCGCCTCCCCCCCCACCTCCCCCACCCCCTCCCCCCCCAGCGCCACCACCACCACCCTTGCCCCCCTTGCCCTTGCCGGTGCGGCGCCTCCCACCAGGAGCAGAAGCAGCGCCAACAGACTCAGCACCAAGGAAGTCAACAGCAGCAGCAGCAGCGTAGGAGGGAGCGAGGGGAGAGGGAGAACACCCCTCAAAGATGGGGGTGCGAGGAGCGCCACGAGCAGCACCGACAGCTACAATGCTCTTTTCGGCCGCGAGCAGCTGCTCCTCTAGGAGGGCGACTGTGAGCTCAGTGGGACAGCGAGCAAGGAAGTGGTCTCAAACTGAGCGGAGGGTGTCAGGGAGACGGGTGACTATGAAGTGGAGTGTCCAGTACAGTGGAGGGGGGTTCTTAGCGCAGAACTCGGTGGGAAGGGCGGCACGCAGGCGAGCATCACTAGTGCGAAGGTGGGTGATAAGATCGGCGACTGTAGTAAAGGTGGACAGATCGGGGAACAGGTACGGCAGCATGAGGCGGCTAAGCTCGGCTGTGGCAGGCGAGGAGTAGCGAGCAACGACAGCATCGTACAGGGCCTTAGCGGATTTGCAGTCGCCAAAATGCTCGAGCTCAGCTAGCGGCAGGTGACTGCGAATGGCTAGGCGAGCAGCTGCGTCACGAGTCTGCCAGTGGGAACGAACACTAAGCTCGGCTGTGGCAGCAGGAGCAGCGGCAGCACCAGACGCGTAGTCATAGAGGGAGATGTGGTCCGTGCTATTGCTCATAAGATACAACTGCAGGTCGTCGAGCCAGGAAGTGAACTGCACGGGACGGCCCTCAGCATCGAAGGAAAGAACGCGAATAGAGGCCATAGCTCAGGCGTGAGGGCACAGCAGAGCAGCGGCAGCAGCAGAGGGGACGCGCTAGAGCGAAGCTAGCAGCCACAGCAGGAGCAAGCGGCGGTGCACAGGCAGGGAGCAGCAGGCGAGAAGCGCGGCGGGCGGGCTGCGAAGCGGGCAGCGGGGCGGGCGGGCGACGCAGCAAGCGGGCAGTGAGGCAGCGGGCGACGCTGTGAGGCAGGTAGCGGGCGGGCGGGCGGCGCTGCGAGCGGGCAGCGAAGCGGGCGGGCGGGCTGCGAAGCGGGCAGCGGGGCGAGCGGGCTGCGAAGCGGGCGGGCCGCGAAGCGGGCAGCGAGCGGGCGGGCGGGCTGCGAAGTGGGCGGGCCGCGAAGCGGGCAGCGAGCGAGCGGGCTGCGAGGCGGGCGGGCCGCGAAGCGGGCAGCGAGCGGGCGGGCGGGCTGCGAAGCGGGCAGCGGGGCGAGCGGGCTGCGAAGCGGGCGGGCCGCGAAGCGGGCAGCGAGCGGGCGGGCGGGCTGCGAAGTGGGCGGGCCGCGAAGCGGGCAGCGAGCGAGCGGGCTGCGAGGCGGGCGGGCCGCGAAGCGGGCAGCGAGCGGGCGGGCGGGCTGCGAAGCGGGCAGCGGGGCGAGCGGGCTGCGAAGCGGGCGGGCCGCGAAGCGGGCAGCGAGCGGGCGGGCGGGCTGCGAAGCGGGCGGGCCGCGAAGCGGGCAGCGAGCGGGCGGGCGGGCCGCGAAGCGGGCAGCGGGACGAGCGGGCTGCGAGCGGGCGGCTCGGCGGGCGGGCGACACTGCGAGGGGCGCGCGAGGGCGCTAGTGAGGGGCGCGCGAGGGCGCTAGCAAGGGGCGCGCGAGGGCGCTAACGAGGGGCGCGCGAGGGCGCTAACGAGGGTGCGCGCGAGGGCGCTAACGAGGGGCGCGCGAGGGCGCTAACGAGGGTGCGCGCGAGGGCGCTAACGAGGGGCGCGCGAGGGCGCTAACGAGGGCGCACGAGGGCGCTACGAGGCTAGGGCACGGGGTAGCGTGGTAACCGCATGCGAGCGGTGGTGGGCCCTTAAAAAAAAAAAAACGGTCCGTAGGTCCTAGGGACCTCCTGCTCTGAATACCATGTCAGAATCACTAGGCAAGAATGAATGAACTAGCAGAAGTTTGGGTACAAATATGAAACCCTAGTTGGGGTTGTACCCCATATTGGCTACCCCACTACAGCCTACAAGCATAATACAGTTTAACACAACCTTGTCCGAGTGCACGGCGGAGCCCATCCTGAACTCGAGCGCGCAATGGCGCGCTGGATCGCCAATGCAGGCCCGGCTGGTGTGCCGCTGACCTTGGCGACGATCCGCGAGCATGTCGCCAACATGGCTCGCGGCATGTCGCTGCCTCCTACCTTCCGCTGCTCTATTGGATGGGTCCGTCGTGCCTTGCGCCGCCAGGGTGTAAGGTGCATTGCGGCTTGTGGCGAGGCGGCCGACCAGGACCTCGCCGCCGTCCGTACGACTCAGGAGAAGCTGCCGCAGCTCCTCATGCATCTCTCTGTCAGGCCGCGCGACACCTACAATTTCGACGAAACCGCCGTCTACATTTCGGTGCTGCCTCGCAAGACGTACGGCGCCAGCCGTGTGGCGGGGAGGAAGGAGGTCAAAGACCGCCTCACCGTCGGCTTCCTCGTCAACGCCGACGGCACTCACTCCTTCCGCCCGTTGGTGATCTCCAAGGCTAGGCGTCCCCACGACTTCCGCCCCGACTTCGACCCGGAGGAATTTTGCTACTGGCGCAACACCGCCAAGGGGTGGATGACCTCACCGGTGAGTATTAATTTGTTGATTCTTTCCCGTGTTCAAACACAAGCCTCGGTTTCAAGAAAATGAGTACTAACTCCTTACACCACTGTCACACCCGACTCCCATGGCAGCTTTTCACGCTCTTCATTGAGCAGCTGAACGCCACCATGTATGCCGAGGATCGGCACATCGTCATTCTGCTCGACAACGCGAGCAGCCACGTCCTCACCTCCCGCGGTGCGACATCCGAGGATCTCTTTGGCTTCCGCACGCGCTCGCTCTCGAACGTCCGCCTGGTGTATCTCCCTCCCAACACCACCTGCTTCACCCAGCCCCTCGATCAGGGGCTCATCGCGATGGCGAAGGCGCGCTACCGGCAGCATTGGCTCCGTGCCTTCACCGCTCGCTGGAATGCCGATGGCGCAACTACCCGCCTGGCGCGCTTCAAGCCCAATCTCCGCGACGTCGTGGCCTGGCTCAACGACGCGTGGATGAATATCGAGCACCGCACTATTCAGAGGTGCTGGTGGCGCACCGGCATCCTCCCGCGTGCGTGGGCAATGGAGCTTGCTCACGTGGGCGACGACACCGCTAGAGCGGGCACGGCCGCGGACATCGGGCTTGACGAGGAGATCGGGGACGTAAGCATTCTCATCGATCGCCTCGGACTCGGCACGAGCGCCATGCCGGCCGCGGAACTGGTTGCCATCGACGACAACCAGCCGACATGCGCGGAGCCGGGAGAGGATCCGCTCGCGACCGAGCCACCGCGCGGCACCTCCGCTGAGACGTGGGAGGCCCCTGCCACCATGCAAGCTGTCTATGACGACAGCAACCCCGAGTCCCGCGAGGCACGGCGCTACGCTCGAGCGGCCTCCGAGATGCTTATTGGCTACGCGAAGGCGACATGCATCACCCCGCGCGACTTGTGCGCGCTCTTTGACATCCGCAACCCCATCATCAGGGCGCGGATGGAGCGCGCCAGCCCGCCGATTAACCTCAACATGAGCCCCCCGCCATCCGCGGCTGAGTGCGCGACGCCCCCGGCCGAGACACCTCGTCGCCGTGGCCTCGTCGCCGTGGCCGCGTGGCAAGAGTCACCCACGATGGGGTGGGCTCCGTCATGTGCACATTTCACCGTTCTGAAATTGTTGACGGGGAAATAGCACGAGTACAAGTGGGTGGATTTTATTGGTTTGTGGGTTGGTGTTGGTGTTTGTCACAAACTGGGTGAAGTTGTGTACTCGTTTGCTATAGTGGACATGAGAAAATAGTGGTAACCGCGCAACTTACCACCAACAAAACTGGCCGCCCGTTACTGTTTGGGAAAAAACAAACTTGTAACCTCCTGTTTTTTTTTAAAAGCACCTTATGGCTGCGGCGAAAACCGGCGAACAAGGCGAATAGACTAAACCACTTATAAGCCCAGAGCACAAGGCAAAGTAGGGTGCGCCAAACGAGCATTACTTGTAGTCTTCAAGGCGTGCCTTTTCATTTGATGGGTCACTGGATCTGTGGGTCATGCGATTCTTGACTTGGCCTTTCGGGCGGAGTTGATTGTAGGGGAACTAGACGTTCACAAATTGCGTGGGTGCCGAAACTGCGAATGGTTTCCTTGGTCTTGGAACGCGTTGCTGCTGCCCCCCCCCCCGCAAATTGCGCATGCTGCGGTGAACTGCGGGCGGGGGATGGGGGTGGGGGAACTGCGCGCTCCTGTACTCCTGTCTTGGCGCGCCTAACGGACTCTACTGTCCCCCACAGGACGCGTTCCCTCGCCTCCCCCAACTGCGCGCTGCGGACCGCCTTCTTGTCCACTGCTCTCTTATCAATCTCAATGCGTTCAAAATTTGAAATTCAGTTCCGTCTTTTGTATCAGATTCAGACACCTTTTCCAGCATCGAAAAGAAACAGCGCAACGTCTCTGCTTCGCCACGTCGAGCAAGTTGCTCCCCACCGCGTTCTTCTCTTGGTCATACGTGCATTCGAGCCTTCTATGTGCCTGTTTCCGTAATTCTCCTTGCTCTACGAATTTCGGTTGCTGCTCGCGTCGCCGAGCCCTCGCACGCTCCGAGCGAAACAGGGTGGAATATGAGGCTCAACAGCGGCGATTGAAACACCGGATCGCCGTCCCGACAGATGTCTATAGTCCTAATTTCGTTCTACCATCAAGATTTCCCTTTCTTCCACTGAAATTCGCCACAATTTCGTCGCAACACCACCACGTAGATGATACTACAGATTACAACGACGACATAGCAGTCTGCGCTTTACCTACGGATATCGGTGGCTCCGGGGGCGAAAGCTTAAATTCTAGTTAAGAGAGATGTCTTAATCCCCCTCCCGCGCAAATTTCGCCAAAGATTATCCGCGTCTAGCGCCAGCAGCATGGGACTAACTGAGGCGGTAAAGCGCATGTCGCAGGGTCGCGTCGCAGAAGCAGCTTTACTTCGTGACGACGTCGCACGCGACGACGACGACGCGTCCGCCGTCGCCGACGGCAACGAATGTGACGACGGCGACCATGGCGACAACGGCGGCGGCGGCGGCGACGAGAACCATCACCGCGATTCTCTCCGCCGCAATGCCGTTGCCGAAGGTCACCGCGCCGGCTTGTGCGTCGCTCCGCCGCTTGGAGGAGGCTCTTACGGCGTCGCGGCGGCAGATGCGGCGGGAGATGCGGCGAGAGATGCGACGGCGATGGACACGACATCGGGTGAGCAGCAACGCGCCGGCGCGAGCACGGACGCTCGGCCGGATTCGAGCGCAATTGCGGCACTAGTGAACACGGATGGGTACAGGTGGATTAAGTACGGCGAGAAGCGCATTTGCGACAACACAGCATTCAGGTACTACTTGCTACCTACCTCCTCTTCTTCATCCTCCTCCTTTTCCCCCCTCCTCCTCGTCCGTTCTCCTCTTCTTACGACGTCGTAACAGGAGGAGAACGAATGACGGGGGTTCGACTTTTTGCCGAAAGCTTGAATCTCCAACTTTGCTCGCCGCGGCGACCCCGCGTTCGCCGTAGTCGAGTCGCCTTTTTCCGCGGAGAGAGGCGTGCGATAACGGAGTCGTCTAGAGAGGTGATTTGAGTCGACTATTGCTGGTCCTCGACTCAAACCAGGTGATCTCGCTGTTCCGCCAGTTCCTTGTGTCGTCACTCATGAGCGCTCCAGCTTCCTTTTGTCACTGCAGAGCACATGGTGTCGTTTCTCCTCTGCAAGCAGAGCAGAGCACAATACCACTATCATACCAATCCTATACTACTACATCTAATGGTCCTTTTCGCCTTGCGAATCTTCACTTCGAGATACGGCTCTTGCGCGTCCGCGTTTCCATCCTCCCTTCCCGCTGCTTCCGCACGTCTCAACCCGCTTGTGACTCCTCCCCTCCGCCCCTGCCCCCCGCGTTTCCCTCCCAGGGCTTATTACAAGTGCACGTGGGCGCGCTCGCGTCCGAGCTGTCGCGCGCGCAAGATCGTCGACTTTCACCCGGCGCACCCGGGCCGCGCGAGCGTCGAAGCGCGCCACGAGCACAACCACCCGCTCTCCGCGGGGCCCTTCCCCCGCTCACCGCGAGTCCCGCTCCCCTCCTTCCGCGGCGGAAAGCACCCCACCGCCTCCGCCAGCTTCCGCGCGAAGGCGCACGGGTTTGCGGGGCTGCGCTGCGTCGAAGGCAGCGGCGGAAGGGAGCAAGCGGCCGGCGGACTGAAGCCGCCGCGGACGGCGCAAAACGGGGAAGCCATCCGCGACTTCGTCACTAGTAGCGCGGCACCAACGGCCATCACTGCGGAAGCCGCAGAGCATCCGCGGGGGAGCTGCACCGCCCGCCAATCCTTCCGCCCGTAATACCCCCCAAAACTGCGGGACCGATGCGCGGCGCGCTGCCGCCACGGCCACGGTCGCGTCGCCTTCCAGATTGAATAATCCCGCCGCCGCCGCAGAGGCTCGTGGGCATATGCGGGGAAGCACCAGTGGAATTAACGCCGTCGCTGCGCGCAGCTCTCGTGGGTCCAATGCACTGCCCGCGCAGGATCACGATGGGTCCGCGCAGGCGGGTGGATCTGCGCAGGCGGGTGGATCCGCGCAGGTGGGTGGGTCCGCGGCGGCGTCCGCAGGGGCAGTGGGTGCTGCGAGTGCGCGCGGAGTGAGTGCCGTTCCGGATGCTGCCCTGGCGCCGCGGGCGCAGCAGGTCCAGCGCACTGTGCGCGACCTGGTTCCCCGGGGGACCGCGCACGCTCAGGGGAACGCGCGCAGCCTGGGAATCGCGCGCGCCTTGAAGCGCGCGACCTGTTGAGCGTGCGCAAGCAGGGTAACGCCGCGCGCAATCTGTACAATGCGTATGCGCGCAAGCAGAGCAACGGCGCGCGCGAGCAGGGCAACGTGCGCGAGCAGGAAGACACGGGTGCAAGTCTTCTGCCTGCGGCAAAGCGGATGCGTGGCGTTGCTGTGGCTCGAATAGGCGGGCATTCAGTCATCATGGTGGGTTCAACCATGCCTCTGGTGGTGCCCCTGCTGCCCCTGGTGGCGCTGGTGGGGCTGGTGCGGCTGGTGGGTCTGGGTGTGCTGCTGCTGCTGCTGGTGCTGCTGGTGCTGCTGGTGCTGCTGGTGCTGCTGCTGCTGCTGCTGGTGCTGCTGGTGCTGCTGCTGCTGCTGCTGGTGCTGCTGCTGCTGGTGCTGCTGCTGCTGCTGCTGGTGGTGCTGCTGCTGGTGGTGGTGGTGGTGGTGGTGGTGCTGCTGCTGCTATGACTCCTGCTGGAGCACCTACCGCTGCTCCTCGTGCCTGCAACACACTGTGTTTTCTCCCTACTCTTACTCTACTGCGCACCACACCTCCCCCTACTCCACTCCCTCCTCCTCCTGCCTTCCCCTTCCTCCCACTGCGCCAGCCATGACACCTGCGCTCTCATTCCCGCTCGTCCCCCCTGCGTCTGCCGCCGCCGCCATCGCTTCTGCTTCTCCCATTCGAGATTCTCCTGCCACTGCACCTCCTCTCCTTAGTCTATCACCAACAGTACACGTTAGTGCTTGGCAGGACAGTACTGTCGCTCCGCCCACTCTCAAACCCGTGAAGCATCAGCATCAGCATCACTTGGACCTGTGCCTTTCCACTCCATCTGCCACCCCCACCACCCCCACGAGTTTTGAGTCAACTCAAACGGGCAGGACAGTGCTCCTGCTCCCACTGTCAAACCCGAGCCGTGTCACTTAGACCTGTGCCTTTTCACTCCATCTGCCTCCCTCACCACCCTCACCACCCTCACCCAGCAATCGCTCTCGAGCTGTCCTCCTCAGCACCCTCCACCTCTCTCGTCCACACCCTCGTCTGATCCTGCTCCACACTCCCCTCTTGCCTCCTCTTCAACAGCCCCACTGGGACCATTCGTGCAGCTGTTGCTTCAGATTCTGCCTCGGTGTTGCTGCTCCGGATCCCACCACTCCCAGCTCTGCCCATGCTCCTGCTCATGCTTCTGCTCATGCTTCTGCCCATGCTTCTGCTCATGCTCCTGCTCATGCTTCTGCTCATGCTCCTGCTCATGCTTCTGCTCATGCTTCTGCTCATGCTTCTGCTCATGCTTCTGCTCATGCTTCTGCCCATGCTTCTGCTCATGCTTCTGCTCATGCTCCTGCTCCCACGTCTACCCCATACCTGCCGCATCAGCACAGCTTACCTCCATCGCCCGTGTCTGCTTCGACTGCGCGGAATATCACAGATCAAGCATCTGCGTTAGGTCTTTCCTGGGAAACATCGCAGCTGCTAGCTGACATAGAACGCCGTACCAGCGCAGAACTACTGCCGGAAATATCTGTTGCGAGGGGTGATGACGCCATGTGGCAGGCAGCGGTTGGTCGGCTGAGCGAGGCGTTGGAGGAGATTCATTCGCTGAGGCAGATCGTGGCTCGGCAAGAGGTGCAGCTGATGGTGGAGCAGAGGCAGCTTCAGGAGGGGCAACAGCACCGGCAGCAGAAGCAGGAGCAGCAGCAGCAGCCGCAGCAGCTGTTGCTCGTTTTCATTTGATACCTTCCAAGTTGCAACAATTGTGCGTGTGGTGTGGGGCAAAGCGTCATCACATCACATGGAACCGTGACTCAGCAGCAACTGGAGTGGATGAAGGAGTGTATAATACTAGATGTGCGTTGTTTGGTTTCAATTGTGGCTAGATGGTACCAAAACAAACTCCGTCGTTGGGTAGAATAGAGTTAGGATCCGCAGTTTCTGTAACATATCTCAAGTTTTGGCAGTTTTGTTTTTTGTTGCTCCGTAACGCTTATGCCAATCAGCTCGGCAATTTCTAGAGATTCGCCCATCGCCGTCCCCGCCCACCCCCGTCTGCTGCCCGCCCCCACCTATCCCACTCTGCTCTGCGCCAAAGCGGGGACCCACGATTCTCTCGAGATGCTCGACTGTCAATTCGACGCGCCGCCCGTACAGCCTGGCAAGGGGCCCACAACGGCTGATGTGTCACCACCACGCGACGCCCTAGGTTCCTCCTCGACTCCCGAGTCTCTCCACCTCTCTCCACTCCACCCGTTACACTGATTATCCCCGCTTCTGCTCTGCTCTCTGCTTCCCCACACTCCCTCATCTGACTGCCTCCTCTTCCTCCTCTTCTGCCGCCTCATAAAATTCAACACGACGGCACGTGCATGGCCCTAGGCTCCGCCACAGTATCTCCCGCCTGTCTCACTTTCCCACCTCGCGCGTTCCGCCGTTTCTCGTGCATCGATTCTCCCAGACGCCTGCCGAACCAGCCGATTTCCTTCTCCGCGCCGTCAGTCGTTGCCGCGCGGGGCCGCGCACCAGGATCGCGCGCAGGAAGCGAACCCGCGTTGCGCAAGAGCGATCGCGCGGCCGTCGCACGCGCGCGAGCTCGCGCGCGCAAGGGGAACTTCCGAGCGGACTCCGCGCGTGCGGAGAGACGAGCGCGCGCGGCAATGGCGGAGGCGGAAAGCGCACCCGAACAGCCGCTGTTTTCGTTCGGCGTGGTGGCTGATATCCAATACGCGGACAAGGACACGCGCACGTGTACGTGTTGCCGCTCTGGTGACTCTAGAGTCGACTCAGGTGACTGTTGAGTCGACTCGGAATGTTCTCGTTCGGCGTGGTGGCTGATATCCAATACGCGGACAAGGACACGCGCACGTGCATGTTGCCGCTTGCCCTTTGGTAACTATTGAGTCGACTCAATAGTGACCTCTATCGGATACGCATACAAGGGCTCGCGCACTTGCCATCCTTGCGGTAGGATTTTGCGTCCAACTTTTTTGGGATGTGTACATGGTGCCCCTAGCCCCGAGTCGCTCCCGCCCACCCTCAGGGAGGAGGCCCGCTATTTCTTGAAAAATCTCCCGCTACATTCCTGCCCGATTGTCACGTGGCACGGAAGGGTTTCTCCTCGACTTCCACACCCCCATTTCCTCCTCCACTTCTCCCATTCGCCCCTCCCTACCCCACGTCCCCCCTCCCCACCTGTCCTCCCATCCCAACCATGCGCCTCCGCCTTAGATCCCGGTTCCTCTTTCCTCCTCCTTCCTATTCATCCCCAACTCTCCAGCATTGGACGGCAGGCAGCAGTGCTACAGGGAGGCGAGGCACCCGGAAAGCTGGACGCCACGCTGGCAGCAGCAGCAGAGGCACCCTACTGTGTCCCATATTCCTGTTCCTCATCTTGCCCACTTCTTTTCCCCCATTGCTCCCCTCCTCCCTCCCTCCTCCCATTCAGCATCGGACGGCAGGCAGCAGCGATACCAAGTGGCGCCGGCCCCCGGGCAAGCTGGCAGCAGCAGTGCACCCTCCTGTGTTCCAGATTCCTGTCCCGCATCTTGCCTCCACTGCCTTTTCCCCCGCCCCCCTCCTCCCTTCCCCCTCCTCCCCCCTTCCCCCCTCCTCCTCCCTTCCCCCCTCCCATTCAGCGTCGGACGGCAGGCAGCAGCGCTACAGAGAGGCACCGGGCAAGCTGGCAGCAGCAGTGGCTGCGTTTAATGAGGCACAGCCGCCCCTGAGGTATGGCGCCACTCCTCTTCCCTGCTTCCACGTGGAGGGTGGTGGTATGGCATGGAATGGTTTTGATATGCAAGCAGCACTGATGGGATGACGTTCTTGCAGCAGTGGCGGCGCTCAATTCAACAAGGCGCAGCCGCCCCTCAGGTAACAACGGACAGCACTGTCAGTAACGAGGTGGCTTTTGAGTCGACTCAAAAGTCAGCCGCCCCTGAGGTACGGCGCTGTCAGTAACGGACAGGTGGGCTGCGGAGGCCTTACTTCCATCAACTTGTACGCCCTCAGTTATGGCGCCACTCCTCTTCCCTGTTCTGATATGGAATGGTTCCGGTATGCTAACAGCACTGATGGCAATCTAGCAGCAGTGCTGGATGGCCGAGCACAGCAGATGGCGGAGCACAGCAGATGGCAGAGCACAGCAGATGGCAGAGCACAGACAGAGCCAGGTTGGGAGGTCACAATCTCTTGGGGCATCACACAACAAACCCACGCACGCATCACACCACGGTCTCTCAGCTCCCCCTTCCGCCTCCCCCTTCTCTCCCCCGACCGTGTTCGTGCAGTGCAGTGGTGACGCTGGGCGATATAGTGGACGGCAGGGACACAGAAGAGGCGACTCTGGAGGACTTTAGGGTCGTGCTGGGGGAGCTGGACAAGGTGCGGTGGGGCTAGGGGGGACGGCTGGGCTTAATGTGGGGCAAGAGAGGAGAACAGGGCAAAGGTGGGGCGAGGGGAAAACGATCAAAGCTGAGGTGGGACGCGAGGGGGGTGTGACAGCGAAAATGGTTGCGCCATATTCCACGCATCCATCACGGCAGAAAGAGGAGCTTATGCTATCTGTCCCTCCGGCCCTCACCACAACTGTATCCAGGGCTCACTATCCCGTGCACCTCCAAACGGCGACTTGCAGCCATTCCTTGTCAGCTCAGCAACGAAGTGCGAGGTGAATGGGGGTGCTTGTGATGGGGCGACTTGCTACGGGCTGGCACTCGCCCAGCCTTACGCTCATGTCACTATGTCATGATGAGGATGTGACTATGCTTATGCCCCCACAACCCGCTCACATCCTCCTGCCTCTCCCATCCCCATCTCCCCCGCAGCTGCACGTGCCTGCAGTGCATCACGAAATAGGCAACCACTGCCGCTACGCACCATCCAGGCTCTTCTCTTCCAACCAACCTCTTGCTCCCTCCTACACCTGCCCACATCCTCCCCCCCAGCTGCACGTGTCTCCAGTGCATCACGCCATCACCACCACTGCCTCTACGTGCACTGTTGCCTTCCAACCTCCAAGTACATACTCCCCTCCTTCCTCCGTGCTCCTCCCATACCCTCCCATCCCCCCCCAGCCCAGCTGCACCACGTTGTCAGCAACCACTGCCTCTACGTCCCGAGCAAGCTCGTCCAACCCGCTCTGCCTACTTTCTGCCCCCTCTCCTTCCCGTTGCTCCCTCCACCCACCTCCCCTCATCTCGCCTCCAGCTGCACGTGTCTCCAGTGCATCACGCCATCACCAACCACTGCCTCTACATGCCAAATGACCTCGCCCAACCCCTACCCTACCTTCTGCCCCCTCTCCTTCCCCCTTGCTCCCTCCCACCCACCTCCCAGCAGCTGCACGTGTCTCCAGTGCATCACTCCA